CATTATAATAATAATACATTTTATATCATAGTGTGTATTAAAACTACTAAAACAGTTTTAAATTGGTATTATATTAACAACTTTTGTTTTTTAATCCAAAAAAAAGTTACCAATTTTCCCAATCAAAATATTTGTGGTCCTGAAAAGGACCTTCGTTTTCCCATGTTTGTCAAGGTAGGTAATGGGTAAACGGTAAAAAAACAGGATAATGAAATTTAAAAAATTACAAAAATTGTTCAAAAGTGCCTCCCTCTTGCATTAAACAATAACCCAAACAATCATAAAATCCCCTCCTCACATTGGATAACATATCAGGGGTGACAGTGTCAAAGGCATTAAATATTTTCTGCCTTAACTGCTCCAAGTTTTGAATTTCTTCATGGTCGTAAATTTTAGATTTTATGTACCCTTGAAATCATTCACCGAGAACTAACAAAAACAAAACTGTCATTTTTGAAAACTTGTCAAAATTTGGACACACGCTAAATGGACTTGATTTTCCTATGTCTCGAAGTTTTTTCTGTATAATCTCACAGTAATTTAATAGATTGCTCGTCATATTATATCAGCTCGTAGAAGATTAGGAAAAAAAAAGATATTTATAATATAAAAAATTAATTTATTTAACAAAATTTAATTAAAGATGTGACAAAATAGTTACATTTCTATTGGTTCTATTTTTGGACTTTTTTCGACTATATAAATCTTTATTTTTTGTAAACTTTAATGCATAAAATATTTTCAATCTAATAAATAATTTAATGATGTAAATAAGAGGAAATTTCTCATATGGGTGGCCAAATTCTATAGTTTTCATTATATCAAACAGCCTCTGAATGTTTTCTTCAGTGCAAAACTCATCAAAATTTAATATAAATAATTTCTCCAGCCTGTAAATAAAATGAACAAATTTTTCCACTTTCATGATCAAAGGTTTTTAAATGGGTAAATAATTTCGAGTTATCCAGAGATTCGGATTCTTTTGCAAATTTTAGACAAATATCACATTGATGTATTTGAAGACCCTTTTTAATGATGCAGTCAAACATAATTAAAGGCATTTTGAGTTGAAAAGATTTCTCAGAGGCTGTTTGATATAATGAAAACTATAAAATTTGACCACCCATGTGAGAAATTTCCTCTTATTTACATCATTAAATGATTTATTAGATTGAAAATACTTTATGTATTAAAGTTTACAAATAAAGATTTATATAGTCGAAAAAAGTCCGATAGTACCAATAGAAAGGTAACTATTTTGTCACATTTTTATTAAATTTTGTTAAATAAATTAATTTTTTATACTATAAATATCTTTTTTTCCCTTATAAATAAACACATTTGCATCCCATTTTAAATAAGATATACAAATTACCAAACTTAGAAATAACAGTACAAAAGTTCAACAAAATCCTACACGCGTTTTTAAAAAGAAACATATAACCACGCACTATGTCATTCCAGCAAGCGAATACGACACAGCATAGGTTTCCGGACTAAACGACTGGTGTATTTACACCACTCAATAGGCGTGTCGGGTTTGCCGAGCGGTTTCCGATGCAGTCGCTTTCTTTCGCATCTGTTGTAGTTAATTTGTGGTTGTGTGGTTACACAACTCGTGCTACGTACTCGACGTGCAACTTTCAATATCACAACTGTCAATATCTATTATAGTCTAAGATACGGCTGCAGGATTATTAAGTTCGTCATATTTTTAATCAAATCCTAATTTTTATGTATATTGATGAATAGGGAAATACACTTTTAACAGGGCGCCAATCAAACGTTTCAAAGTTTTTCCTGGTACTTTATATGGGTCCGGCAACAATGCGTCGGGCATTTGCAGCTCCTATAATAAAAAAATTTTGTTATTGGAATTTGGGATAAGTGCAAACCTAAAGTATGTATTAGGATGTATTTCAGGAAAATATTTTAACTTCTACAAGTTCGCTCAAAAAAGTGTGAGTGGATCATGATGATTTTGTTTTAATGGAACACCCTATTTATTATTGCACTTTTGGCTTCCTTTATGATAACTTTACATAATCCCAAGATACTATTAAATATTTTTTAAGCCTTTAAAAAAATATTAAAAATACAAGAAATGTCATGAAATCAAAACTATATAGGTATTTAATATAGTTGGTCTGTACCTTATGATTGTACTATATCATTTTTGAGCTTAAATCATTTTAGAATTTTTAGCGGTTCCACTTAAAAAAATCGAAGAAAAACTATTTTATATTTTAGAAAGTTTAGCATTGAATTTTGAACAGCATTTTCACCACTTATAAATAAAATAGTTACTTTTTGTAAACAGCGCTTACAAAAAACTACAACTAACTATTACATTTTTTTTACCGCTGTACTTTTTTTGAAGAGATGAGTCAACCACAGAGGTATAGACATTTTTTATGTAAAATACTGTCAAAGTAATTATAAATATGATATAAGATGTCCATAAGATAATTTAAAAAATCCACAATTTTATATTAAATTTTTTCTAATTAACAAAATAATTTTTTTGTCATCGCGAAATTTGCGATGAATTTATAATGTTTTTATTAATATGCATAATATGCATCAAATTGTTTTCGGTAAACTACAATAATACTTACGTCAAGGAAATAACAATACATCAGACAGATTTTTCCATAAAAGACGTTTAATTTAAATTGTTTTTAATGAGCGTAAATTTCCAACGGTATGCTACCTGCTTTATGCACATTCGTTTGTTTAT